TTGTTTCGTCGTTGCCCGTCTTGCATCGTTTCCACCGTTCAGGCTTGCTAATCCACTTCTCTACCCTCTGGACTTTATAAGCTTATCGACACCCTCCTAGGTACCGGTTAGTTATTAGCCGGCCTAAAAGGGAGACTTGGAACTTATAGGCAACTATGCTTAGGTTGAGCCCGGTTCATGCAGGCGGCAAGAACGCAATGGCAATGGGGTAAATAGGGATTTGGTGCACAAGCATTGTCTGCCGCTTTGGGAAGAATTATGAGAACGTAGCCAATTCCTTATGATGATTCTAGCTTAGTAATTAGAGGGTTAGCTCAGTAATTAGAAGTAACCCTCTGTCTTAGGTTTTCTAGTCCGAATCCAGCCTCCGGCCCTGTGCACATGTTTTTTCTCCAATGCCTACCTAGTTGAGTTAATTTCCCACCAGCTTCTATTATACCATGAGGAACCATCTCATTTATCACTCAGGGTAAGGAAAAATATAGCAGTAGATCCTGTCGATTCAGTAGAAGTAGATCTAGAACCAGCTTCCCCACCATTACCTCCACCAGCAGCATAACGCCTAGTTCCAGATCCTCTAGCAGCAAAGAGCCTACAGCAGCACTACCTAAAGTAGCAAAGCAAGGAGCAGCAATTCCAGTCACAGTAGTTGTAGCAGAGTAAGCTAGAGACAGAAGCAACGAGAAAGGCAGGAGCAGATCATTGAGTTGGAAGGAAGCTGTTGGGTTTGGGGAACTAAGCTTCATCTCTTATGGAAAAGCTGGAGGAGAAATGCTGATGGATAGACTCTGGGAGGAGTTGCATCCATAAGTGTTTTGCAATGGGGCAGTCACGTAGCACGTGAAGGGAGTCCTCCATGTTGTGGCTGCACTCTTTGCAAGACCCATCAGTAGTTAGGTGCCTTACCACTCTGACCTTATTAGTCAGCAATCTGTCTTGTCTTGCTAGCCAAAGGAAGTACTTTATCTTAGGAATGGGTTTTCCCTTCCAAATAGCCTGCCACTTCTTTGCTTCCACATCTGTTTGCTGGCCTGTGACTACGGCATCGGCGGATTTCGTACTGAAATTTCCACTCAGAGAGTCCTTCCAGATCAGAGAGTCTGCAATTCTCACTTGAAAAGGCTTGTCTAATATGGGGTATCAAGTTCATGCGGATCAGCTCCACAAAGTCACTCCACTTCCAATTTCCATCTTCATCAATGTAATCACAGACCCGATAAGACTAGCAGGTGGAATTTGTTGGGTTGCTACGTCCACCAGTGGGCCTTCACCTCTCCACCAGTCAAGCCAAAATTTTGCTCTTTGCCCATTCAAAATTAGCCATTTACTTCCCATCTTTAGGATGTCCTTCCCCTTGAGAATGCTTCTCCAAGTATAGGATGACTTAGAATTTGCTTCACAATTGAAGAAAGAGGAGTTGTTTAGATACTTGCTTCCCAGAATCGAGGCCCATAGGGAATCAGGTTCTGTTACGAATTTCCAGCCCATTCTTGCCATAAGGGCTTTGTTCATTAGCCCCATGCTTCTCAGACCTAACCCTCCCTCCTCTTTGCTGCTACAGAGCTTCTCCCATGAAACTAGGTGGATCTTCTTCTTGGTTTCATTGCTACCCCCAACAACTTTGCAATTGAGTTTCTCAATCTCCTGGTTGACTAATTCGGGAATTCTGGTTGTTTGCATGGTGTAAGTAGGGAGTGATGATGAAGTGACAGATTGGACTAAAAGTGTTCGACCTGCCATGGAGAAGTGTTCAACTTTCCAGCCAGCTAGTCGGTTTTGTACCTTTTCCAACACATGGTGATAGGTTGCCTTATAGACTCTGCCATAGATTAATGGGACCAAAAAAGACTTGCCCAGGTCTGAGGTGAGAGGAATGTTGCAATTAGAACTGATGCTTCTACGCCGGAGAAGAGAGAGAGAAGACAGCATACGAACATCAAGTGGAGCAAGGTGGCGTACTCTCCTAACCAAACAAGCACATAGAAGAACGATTTGAACCAGTAACAGCAACCAACCAATTGTGAGGGCTGGCCAAACAAGAAGCACAAAAGATCCAACACTCTTGCTGTCGTTACAAGCCTAAGGGCGAAGGGTGGGACATTGATCCAAAGCTCGAGTACGGTCCGAAGCCCTTCCTCCATGAAAGGCTCGGGCAGAAGGTAGAAAGGCTAAGACAAAGCCGCTTCCTAAGTCACTCAGGTATGGCTTTGGTTACGTAAAAATACCACCTCTTCACCAGTAGCCAAGGTAGGCGCGTGAGCTCTTTAAAGTGTTTAGTACCTCACTGGTGCTCTTCGCCAGATCTTTTTTAAAGCAATAAAAACTCCTTCCTTATGAAAGGGTCTCGTTCTGCTGTATGGACTTTCCCCAAGGTGTAATAAGTCTTATCTAGCAAGATCCTAAGATCTCGATCCACAGCTTAGTAATTCACAGAATACGAATAATAGGGACTAATAGGAGAATGCAAATAATAGGTCCTTTTAGCCGAATCCAGGTTTTGAGTTGACTTCTAGTTCTGGACCGATGGGAACTCCTACTCAAAAACGAGTAGCTTCCAACTTATAACACCTTTTGGGACTCTAAGCTAAGTAAGGATCAGAAATCCAAGCTTTTGAGTTTGTAGCTAGGTAGCTAAGCCAGTAGTAGTTCAGTTCAGGTCAGGGCATGAAGCTGCAGGTTCTATTTGCGGTCGTGATACAGAGATCAGAGGCAACTTGTTATATAGGTAGCTGTGCATGTTAATAGATCTTCTTCTATACTAGTAGTAGCAGTAGTGGGTGAATCGGTTTAATATGGATGGTTTTTTTCTTTATTAGACGGATAAGCACAGTTATTGCTGTATGTCCCAACATTCAGCTGAGGTAGGCTACTAACTTGCTCGTTAGAAGTAGTTAACGAACGGAAATAAGGCCATTTGATGTCTATAAGTGAAGATTGGATGGATGCCCGCTCCTTAGGTATGCTTTCAAAAGGGTTGTTTTTGATGCGTGCTGGTGTTCGTGGTCTGTTGGTTTTTCTGTTCTCGTGGGGGAAGGCGAGATTAGCGCATCTACAAGTTGAGAGTGTGCTCGGGCAAGTGGGCTAACCAGAACTACTAGTAACGGGATTTGCCTACAATCCGAGTAAGGGGAATGGAACTCTTGTTTGAGAACTTTAGCTACGGACTTAGGTTAGCTAGCTCAGCTTCTCCTATGGCTATTTGGATTAAGGAACTAGGGTAATGCGAAATTACAAATGGTTCCTTATATAGATGTAGGTGTAGTGGAGTAGGTAGTGGTAGGTGAGTGTAGGTGAGTGTAGTAGGTGAGTGTGTGGTAGGTGATGGTAAGTGTGTGGTAGGTGATGGTAAATTTTAACAGAAGGCCTAATAATGGTGAATCGAATCAGGCGCAACAGCCGTTCCAAGGCTTTTATGCCACCGTTCAGGCCTTATTTAAGATAGGAGAATGAGGTTCAAGCAAGAGACCCCGGGTTTTGCCTAAGGCGAGTAGCAGACTCTGGTTTCAGTGCATGTGTGGAAGGCAACTCTGTTTAGCCAGCAAGCATAGGAAGAAATCCCCCTGAGGAACTTACTATTAATGCTAATCCATTAGCTCTAGCTCGGAGTTTGCCCTAAGTTGTCTCGAAGTTAGCTGTTTGGCATGAGTTTGGGCTTTTTCCTTTTTTTCTTGAAAGCTTTCGATGCAGGCAAAGAAAATCTCTCTCAAAGAGCTCCTGACAGGTGCGACAAGGTAAGAAGGTCTTTGTTCAAGTCAAGTGACTTAGCTTAGAGAAAGAAAACCGTTAGTGAAGTGTCAGGAGATGCGTACAGTTTCGGCACTCGAAGAAAAGCTACTTCTTTGATTGTTCCGGGAAGTACTACTTGAAAGTCAAGCTCTTTGTTGCAAGCCAAGCAGAACATAAGATAGAGGAAACCGGAACTTTAGCTAGTAGACAAACTACTTTCGTTAGCAAGCAGCACTCTCATCAAGTAGGGCAAATCTCATACCCAATTGAAAAAAAGGTCTTGGAATCGACTTAGAGAAAAATACCCCTCACATTAGCAGACCCTTTAGGGAAATAAGATGAATATGTTAGAGTGGTAGAGTTTCATTTCTATTCATTTCAAACAGAAATTATATGTAAATATACTAACAGAAACCTAAATCAACAACAAACTATTGTGCCATAGAAAAGTTGGAGCTTTTACACACATAAAGAAAGAGATGGACCCAAATATGTGATCATATACAACAATGTATTAAACTATTAAAACTCTTCTCTCTAGTACAGCTTCTTCTATTATTCTCTCTCAAAACATTCCATAGCTTGGCAAAAAACACAGGAGGACATAAAACTTCCTCTCACAAATTCAACATCTTCAAAATAACTGCTCCTTCAATAAAATCAATCAACTTAGCCTACCAGTGTACAATGTGGTCAAAAAAAATCCAACTCATTTCAGCATTCTTTTAAGTTTTATCAACTACCTGAACATTTATTCAACTGATTACAAATTGTAAATACATAAAAAGTTTTATTTTTTATTTGGGGAGCATGAAATTAGGGACGAACCACTAATTATCTATATGGGTATTTCATCCTTATAATTTATCAAGCATTCATTGACTTCTTTTTCTACTCTATAAGTTACAACTTCTTATGCACTTGGTATTGTAATTTAGTGTGGTATGGTTCCTCTCTCTCTCTCTCTCTCTCTCTCTCTCTCTACATATATATATATATATATATTCTATTAGAAAATGCAAACAGGGTTCTTGGCATGAACCCTTTCTCTGTCACAGTATTCCCAAATTAACCTTGTTCTGTAACTGTCAAATTCAAACTATGGGTTCTTTTTAACCGCACACCCTGGAGTATAAAAACGAAATTAACAACTTTAGGGCAATACATGTGATTATGTACACCTAAAAGTTGTTAATTTTGTTTTTACACAGATTCATTGGTATGGAAAACAAGTAGTGGAAGAGTGAAGATTAAATGAAAACGAAAGAACTGACTCGAGGCAGATTGGAGGCAAAAGAGCTGAAGAACTTGAGACCCAAAAGTGAAAGTAGTGAGCTGGTAACTGCAACCACAAAATCAAACCCACAACCCCTTGTTCCATTTAGAAAGAGTAAACAGCTCTTGACTGACAGTGAAATGAAAGAACAAAAAAAAAATTATATACAGAATAAGAATGAAAGAGAGATAGAGATATGATTCCATACTCATCATTGATGAAGAAAGATTCGTCTAGACAAACAATATCGTCTTCTCCTTCTTCTTCTTCTTCTTCTTCTGCTGTTGCTGTTGCCCTTTCCATCTATTTGGTCCTAACACGAGTGATTTGGAAAGAAAGAGGGGTTTGCTTCTGTTTACCACGAATTAACACGACTGATTTGGAGAGATGAAGGTTTGCTTCTGTTGCTGTTGGTGTTGCCCAACTTTTTCTAAGAGAAATTGGAATAGTATAATACTCTTTTTTGAATAATTTACTCTTTTTTGAATCACCTCAAAACCAGAAAAATATGAGAGAAAATAGACACAGCTAATAGCCCCACCACACCTTTTATTCGAGGATTCCTATATTTTTATTTTTTATTTTTTTTAAGGAGTAAGGCCAAGTTTGGGAAGATCCAAAAAAGTTAAAAAGTCAAAAAGTTACTCAAAAAGTTAAAAAATTAACACTATTCATCAAAAGTCAACAATTACGGCTGCACAACTCCCAATTCAAATTTTTCTCTACAAATCAATTTTTACAATTTTTTATTACACATTTTTTAATAAAAAGTCAAAAAGTTAACCCAAACATCCATATTTTTAACCTCAATTTTTTAGTCCAAAAAGACAAAAAGTGCACTTTTTTAGTCTTCCCAAACTTGGCCTAAATTGTTAAAAAATTCAATTCAAGGAGGGCATAAGTAGGGATGGATATTGGTTCGTTGGTTTTTCCCCCACCTGATTCAACCCTCTTTTTCTACGATTTAAAAATATTGTTTTAGCGCATAAGAGCAGGTTAGACTAACATTTTCAACTCAAAATATTAATGAGTTGAACTTTAAATTTATACTTTCAATTCAGTCACGATTGGCCCAACCCATTATTAATTTATTTATTTAAAATACTTTTTTTTTGTTGGGATCTAAACTTGTTGATTTTATTGAAACTTATATTTGTGGTGATGTGTGATTGAATTTATTTTAAAAAAATCTTTTAATTTATACACAAAATCTATCAATTTATAATATTGTCAATATATTTATTTAAGAAATATGATGTGTGATTTAATTTAATTATGAAATTTTTTTTTTTTTAACATATAGCCTGATTGGTGGGCTTAGAATTTATAATTATTTTTTGGACTAGGTTTGGGCAAATATAAAGGCTCGATGTTAAAGTCAGGCCGAGGTTGGGCAGACACAAAGTCTCTTGTCATCTAAAAAAAGTGAATGAAAAAAAAACAAAAAACAAAACAAAACAAAACAAAACAAAAGCATTAACAACAAATGACCCCGTAGTATAACGATTCCGGATTAGACCCGACCATATTCTTGCTTTTGAATTCGGGAATTCATATCCTTAACTATTGTTCATTTCATTTTCATCTAGTTACTAGTTGAGTTTGGTTGTTTAGGAGTTATTATTGCATTTGGAACAAGTGGAGGATTAGTTTTTTAAAAAGTTGTTGTCCAGTTTCTTCTTGTTTGCTCGAACGATCTTTCTTGTGCTTGAACAGATGATGAAGACGTTCGAGATGCTTGGCATTGAGAAAGACGGGTTGAAAATGACCTTGGCATATTTCCAATTGAAGGGAGATGCCGGTCAATGGTGAAAGTATGCGCGATGGCGCATTGAAGCGACTTGATAGGCCTTTGTCAACATCTTCCAGGTCAAGTTTTTGCCTCTCACTGCTAGGGAGAAGTTGAAAGATCAGTTTCTGAAGCTCAAGTAGCTTAACACACCTGTAACCAAGTTTGAGGGTATTTTTACTAGCCTCTCTAGATTTTCACCGGAACTTGTGTCAACAGAGAAACGTCGTTGCATTGAGTTCGAGAAAAGGTTGAGAAGCGGGCTGCTTTTCAAGGTGACTGGGTCTATTATTAGGGATTACAGTGGCCTTGTGGAGGTGGCGGCTCACCTAGAGACCGTGATCCAATCTGAAGATGAGTGGATGAGGGGCTCCAAATAGAGAAGTCAAGAAGTTCAAGGGGAGGTATGGCATGACAAACGGCAAAGGGGTTCTACCCCACAACAATTCTAGGCAACACAATTCAAATCTACTTTTCTTGTATTGAGTTTTGGTTTTGGAAGAGGTAGTCAGTGTGGGATCACTTGTTTTAAGTGTGGTCAGTTGGGCCACAAGCCTTTAGTATCCCAAAAACTTACCAGATCCTACTCCAAATGCACACTTTGCTGCATTAAGTCAGAGCCGATATGTCTTGAGGATGTCAAAGACTACTTACAGGTCGGCCAAATGACCTTCAGGTTCCTTGGTTTTCATGACCATGTCGTCAATGTACACTTCTACCGTTCCGCCAATCAGGTATTTGAACATCTTGGTTACCAATCTTTGGTAAGTTGCTCCTGCGTTTTTCAGCCCGAAAGGCATCACTCTGTAGCAGTACAGTCCTTTGGGGGTGATAAATGCAGTCTTCTCTTCATCTGGGGGGTACATGGCTATCTGATGGTATCCCCTGTATGTATCCAGGAAGCTCATCCTCCTATGCCCCGAAGTGGCGTCTACCAGTTGGTCAATCTTAGGTAGAGAAAAGCTGTCTTTGGGACGGGCTTTGTTTAAATTGGTAAAGTCTACACAGACCCTCCATTTACCGTTCTTCTTCTTCACCACTACTGTGTTCGACAGCCATGTCAGGTAATTTACCTCTCGAATGGCCCTGGCCTCGAGAAGTCTGTCTACTTCTTCTTCCACTGCTTCGACGTGTACCAACGTCGATCTTCTTGCTCATTGAATTACAGGTTTGGCCGACCTGTCAACGTTCAGCTTATAGCAAGTGACCTCGGGGTCAATGCCTGGCATTTCGTAAGGCATCCACGTGAACACCTCAATGTTTGCTCTCAAAAAAGCTTCCAATTATTTTTCCTCTTCTTCGACTAAGCCCGAGCCGAGAAGAAAGAAGCGTTCTTCATCCCCTTCCTGGACGAGAATTTTCTTCAGTGCTTCTTCACTCTTCTCGGCTGGCTCCATGCCAACATCTTCTAGGACCTCTACGTCCTCGTCTTTAACCTCTGCCTTTTCTGGTTCTCGAATGCTGCAGGTGGATTTCATTGCTGCCATGAAGCAATTTTTTGCCTGCAGCTGATCTCCTCTGACCTAGAGGGCAATAATCTGCACTGTCTTCCGCTTGTCTTTAGAGTTAGATTCAGTTTAGAGGACAACCACATACTTATTATCAGTGTGGGCAATCGGGGCACTTGAGGAGGTGTTTCCTTCAAGCAGGTGGCACATTTGGTACATTTAGTTCGAGACAGACACAAAACCATCAGCCTACCCATTCAGTGCAGGCCTCAAGGACCAATCAAGGAGCCTCTTCGTCTCAATCAGTGTATCAGACCTATGCTTCGAGGGGTGAGCAGGTAAAGTAGAGACCCATCGGGCATGTGTATACTGTTACCACACCGTATCAGTTGCCAGAGCCTTTCATTGCAAGAGATAACTTTTTTTTGTTCAACTTTATTTCCAATGTATTGATTGATATTGGTGCATCTCATTCCTTTCTCGCGTCTGCATTCGCATTAGTTTTGGGGTTATAAGTGGTTTGGCTAGCGTCTCCGCTCAGGGTAGAGTCACCAGTTGGGGGTAAGGTTATCTTGGACCGAGGATGTCACGGTTATGAGAAAGAGGTTGTCGGTCACCGACTTCCTTTTGCTTTTGTATTGATAGACATGTCGAGTTTCGATGTCATCTTAGGCATGGATTGGTTGTCTTTGTACCATGCCATTATAGTTTATTATCGTCAAAAAGTTATAGTCAAGTTTTGTCGCCAATGTATGACTCACGTGGTCGGGGCGAGCTTAATTTCCTTCTTGCAACTTTATTGGGTAATGAGAGTGATGTGGTCCAAGTTGATTTGTTGAGGGTAGTTTGTGAATACCCGAACATCTTTCCAGAAGATCTTACTAGTTTGTCACCCCACCGAGAGATTAAGTTCTCCATTGACTTAGTGCTTGATGGCACCATATAGATTTGCACCCGCTGAGTTGTATGAGTTGAAGATTCAGCTCCAAGAACTGCTAAATAAGGGTTTCATTCGCCTAGTGCATCGCCTTGGGAAGCACTAACTCTCTTTGCTAAAAAAAATGATAGCACATTACGATTGTGCATTAATTATCGGAAGTTAAACCGGGTAACTGTTAAGAACAAGTACTCATTACCACGTATAGATGATATGTTTGACCAGTTGGAGAGGTCTCGTTATTTTTCTAAGATTGACTTGAGATTGAGTTATCACCAGTTGAGGGTGAATGTTCAGAAAAAAAAGACATTTCATACATGGTACAACCATTATAAGTTCTCAGTAATGCCTTTTGGGTTAACCAATGCACTGACTTCGTTTATGGATCGGATGAATCGAATCTTCCGTGAGTTCTTAGCCCGTTTCGTGGTTGTCTTTATTGATGACATCTTAATCTACTCACCCTCCGAGGAGGAACACTTACGGGTTGTACTTGAATTGCTTAGAGCACATCATTTATATGCTAAGTTTGGGAAGTGTGAGTTTATGGCTAAAGAAAGTGAAGTTATTAGGCCATTTAGTATTGGAGAAAGGGGTGACTGTAGACTTGTCTAAGATAGATGCAGTGCAAGATTGAGAGCAACCTAAGAATGCCTTTGAGATTTGAAGTTTCTTGGGTTTAGCCAGGTATTAACGATGTTTTGTGAAAGACTTTTCTAGCTTAAGATTAGACTCACCACTGCTCCAGTATTTATTATTTCGAAGAGGGGTTTGGATCATTCGATTTATTGTGATGCATCTCGAAAAGGTTTGGGTTGTGTATTGATACAAGAGGGGCAAGTCGTAGCATATAGCTCACGGTAGTTGAAACACACGAGAGAATTTATCTTATTTACGATCTTGAGATAGCGGCGATGATTTTTGCCTTAAAAATCTAGAGGCATTATTTATATGGGGAGAGATTTGAAGTGTTTTTCGATCATAAGAGTTTGAAATATCTGTTTTTACAGAAAGATTTGAATTTGAGACAAAGGAGGTGGATGGAGTTTATGAAAAATTATGATTTCAAGTTACACTATCATCGAGGAAGGGCAATGTAGTGGTCGATGCCTTGAGTAGGAAATCCATAAGCAGTGTAGCTAATATTGCTATCCGGGAATGGGAGATGTCGCGTGCTATAGGCCATTTAGTATCGGAGAAATGGGTGATTGTAGACTTGTCTAAGATAGATGCAGTGCAAGATTGAGAGCAACCTAAGAATGCCTTTGAGATTTGAATTTGAGACAAAGGAGGTGGATGGAGTTTATGAAAAATTATGATTTCAAGTTACACTATCATCGAGGAAGGGCAATGTAGTGG